CCCACTTTAAAGTGATGGCAGAATTTCATCCATTATGTTATCCTTACCATTAGTGGATAGTCATTTCCTCCCTGAGAGGAAAAAGGAAAGAGAATACCGCCTACTGAAGAGGTATTTCAGAAAAGTCCCCCCTTTGGCTGAGCTCCAGAGTTGATTACAGACATCTGTATTAACTGGAAGACAACATTACCTGCCACGGCTGTTGATCTGTAAGTTTCCATCTTTCTCCTTCTGCCATTGCTCTGCAATTTAATTTGGTGGACTGCATGGTGTGCAAAGCATGTGCCAAAATATAGATTGCATTGTAGATGCTGTAGCTGTGGGCTGTCATGCTCGTTTCAAAAACAGACCCAGGAAGGCTCTCAATATTCTCCTCCCCAGTACAGAGTTTGTCATCTTTCTTCTCTGAAGCAGAATCATTAAAACCACAATTAAATGCCTCTTCCCAGAAAACCCTGAGAAAGCCATCTTCTTTTTCCAAGGTAGGCTTTCTCATCTGAATAAATTTCTGGAATCCTGGAAGATCCTTAGAGTGAACTGCAAAGGATAGAGCCCCATGGAGGAATGTGATGTCCCAACCTCTTTGAAAGGGAAATGATGTGAAATCCATCTGGGCTATCATAATCCAGACTTTTGTATTTCCTTGCATTGGCACATCATTCGTTTCTGCAAGTGTGGGTATTGTTCTCATTACCATCATTGTGTGAATTTCACCATGTACAACCACAGCATTGGCAGTGCTCCCCACAATAATGTTCAATGTTTTTGAACCTTCTTCCACCAATTCATCAAACTCACCAGAAGAGGTAACCTTAGGGAAACTTTCTATAAAATCAAAGCAGATACCCTTCTGGGCAAAGATGGGGAGAATATTTTGTACAAATCTCTCTCCAGTGTCACCATGGAGAAAAAGCACACCGATCCACACCCAACGAAAATGCAGCAGTAACTGGAGGATCCCCTCATATTGCTGAGTCCCATCTGGGAATATCCAGTGGGTGAAAAGAGCTTGAACGTCATTAGTCGTCACAGGAGAAGAGCCATAGATGACCTAAGAGGGTCATTAATAAAATCAAGGAAGGAAAGATGATAACAAAGGATGATATCAAAACCCTCAAACCAGATTTCAATGTATTAACCAGGGGGATTAATTTTTTTTGTTTACAGTGGTACCTCGGGCTACAAACGCTTCCAGTCACAAACTCCGCTAACCTGGAAATAGTACTTCGGGTTGCAAACTTTGCCCCGGGTTGAGAATGGCAATCGAGCGCCAGCAGCGGTAGGCCCCATTAGCTAAAGCGCCCTCAGGTTAAGAACAGTTTTGGGTTAAGAACGGACCTCCGGAACGAATTAAGTTTATAACCCGAGGTACCACTGTATATCTCTTAATTTATAATCTGCAATTTGGGGAAATACTAAGGTATTAACGTATTTTCATCAAATAGAAGAATTATGCAGTTATGTTTACGGCAGAATTTGCTGTCTTTCATATGTAAAGGAGGATAAAGGAAAGAACAGGTAAATGGCTACCAAGACAGCCAGTCAGCTAGGGGGTGGAGCCACCATGAGGAAAATGTTTATAGCTAGAGAAAGGAGCCCCTGAGCTTAGATAGCATGACAGTGTTTGGAGTACTTTAAGAGTTTTCAGGCAAAAGTTAGCTGGAGGGCTAAGTTTGATGAAGGAGAAGTAGAGTTGTGAGGATACTTTATCTCCTGATACATCTTTTGTCTTACCAACTTTATTCTGCAAAATAAATCTTCCTTATTTGTTCAACTTCTGCCTGAAGTTGACCATTACCTCACACACGCTAGATAACCCGTGGTGGTTACAGAATTTTACTGAGGGGGATCTGCTTCAGAAGGATTCCAATATCACTTATTTCTCTTGATTTGGAATGTTAAAGTTATTTTGGGAAATATATAAGTGATTTTTCAGCAGGCATAGCAAGCATACAGTTGTGCTACCACAGGCAGCAGACGTTTTGTTACAGTCCTGCACAGGAGTAAAGTCTCCAATGAGGAATTCTTCCACCTGAGTTTTTCAGGAGGTGTGGAACTGAAGCAGACATTTTCCTCAACCTGCATTTTTGGTTGAAAAATACCAACCTTTACCCACTATTTGCCATTCCCTTGATATTTTGTTCTTCAGTTATCAGAATGCAACCCAATGAGACTAGTCAGAAACAACTGTAAATGGCTTTCATTGATGATCCATGTTCCATGCAAACCTCTTACCCTTGGCATCTTGTACATGGACAGGATGGTTGACATGTGGAGACATAAATCAGGTTTTGGCCCCCCAATCACAGCCTTTGGAGTCTCCTGAACATCACACTTGTAGTTGGGGAGGAGTCTTTCTTGGCTTGAGAGAAGTTCCATGGAAGCTTGGTAGGTCCAGCTTGCACTGAAATGGCTGTTGTAGATGTGGAAACCCAGAGACATATTGGGCAATATTTGGGGATTTTCATTTATCTCTTTCACAGCAAATGCCAAAGCCAGGATATGCTGGTAGAGTTGTGTCATTGGTCTGTATGGAGAGCAACATAGTGCATAACAATTCACATTCACAAACATAGAAAGTGTATGGATATATTGAAAAACAAACCTGGATGTTTCGCTACCCTGAACATCTAACTCCTGCCACCTGATAGGCGGCCTGGCCCTAATTGCTACTATTTCTGTTCTACGGAGGAGGAGGAGAAAGTCTGGTTACCAAAAGCTTATAATAAAATCACCTCTAAGTCTGAATGAATTACTACGTTGCTTGGATTAAAGTCAAATATTAAATAAGAAATCCTTAGCTCACCATGGTAAATGAGCAGAAAGCCTTAACAAAGTGAATGGGGATGTTACTTTTTATGCTGCCTTGCAAACTTTTTATAGAAAAACTGAACATTGGTATAAGCCTACCGTATAAGAAGAAAAAGGTTATCACACACTGCAGAAGTGGGTTTGTGTTTTCAGGTCTGCCCTAATCTCTCAGAACTTCGTGGAAGGAAAAAGTTGGTAGGAATCATCATACACCTGTGGCCAATATTGTGAAAACATTTTGGAAAGTATGTATGTATCTCTGGCTCATAACATCAGTATTATTTAGATTAATACCATAATAATCAAGCCCTTCAAGATCCTATTAAGCGGAATTGCTATCAAGGCATCTCTTTTTTTAGCTGCAGCCGGCAAAATTCTTGTAAGGATCTTAGGAAACCGTCTCCTAACAATATCCAAGGCTACCCTTCCTGAATCCCAAAATGGTTTTTGACCTTCTAGGGGGACAGTGGACATGATTTTCACCACTTGACAGCTACAAGAAAAATGCAGAGAGCAAAATCAACCCCTGTATATGGCGTTTATTGACTTGACTAAGGCCTTTGACACTGTGAATCGTAATGCCCTGTGGACCGTCCTTCTGAAAAGTGACTGCCCAGATGAATTTGTGAACATCATTCATCTCCTCCATGATTATTTGACCGCAACAATTGCAGATAACCATGGCTCTCAAAGTGAACCATTCACAGCGGGATCAGGTGTTAAACAGGGTTGTGTTATTGCCCCAACTCTATTTATTATTTCCATTGCCTTGATCCTACACGCACAACATCCCAAAAACCAAAGTGCTTCACCGACAAGAACAAAACAACCTCTATGTACCGTCACAACTCCAACTCAATGGTGTAAGGTTGGAAAGTGTTGATCACTTCGCCTACCTTTCCACAAGGGCTGACATTGATGCCAAAATCCTGCACCGTCTGAGGTCTGCAAGTGCGCTTTCTCCTGCAGGGTGTTTGAGAACCGGGACATTTGCATGGAGAACAAAATGCTTGTTTACAAAGCAATTGTACTACCAACCTCACTTTATTCTTGTGAAACAGAGACCACTTATAAATGCCATCTCCAATTCCTCGAAAGATTCCATCAACGGTGTCTCTGAAATTTTCTACACATCGCTTGGGAAGACAGGCAAACTAATGTCAGTGTACTGGGTAAAGCAAAGATCACCAGTATCGAAGAAATGAATCTTCAAAATCAACTTTGTTGGACAGGTCATTTTGCCTGATTATCGTCTTCCAATGCAACTACTCTATTCCAAACTTTAATATGGAAAGCACCATGCTGGTGGTCAACAAAAGAGGTTTAAAAACTCCCTTAAGGCCAATCTCAAAAAATGTTGTATAAACACAGACAATTGGGAAATACTGGCTGGGAGAACAGCTTTTACCAAAGGTGTAAAGGACATTGAAGGCACTTGAACTCAGGATGGAAGTGAGAAACGTGCTAAGAGGAAGGCATATTTGGCAAACCCTCACCCTGACCAACTCCCGCCTGGAAATCTAGGTCCTCACTATGGAAGGACATGTGGATCCAGAATTGATCTCTACAGTCACATACGGACTCACTGTTAAAACCATCTTCATGGAAGACAAATTTTACTCAGCTACAAGTGATCACCAAAGCAAGCAAATAGCCAAACAAAAAGTTATGCACAGAAAACCATGATAAGGGTATTTCATAACTTTTCACCATTTATGTTAGCATAGAAACTTTTTGCTGCAATTGCAGCTCTACAGTGGCATCCCATGGAGTAAACCAAATATTTTAATTCACCAGGTGTTTTAACATGAAACCAAGATTGTTTCTAAAAATTGTGCTTTATTCTTTTGTTGCTTCTGACTAAAAGTTTATTTAATCAGCTCCACAGATATTATGTTGGATTCAGGTCAGGACCTTTCAACACAGTTTGTGGCATTATATTCTGCATTAGATTATCTTTCTAATGATATACTGCAGAGGTTCATTCTAATGGTATACTGTTCTTATGAGCCATCAGCCCTTAGAAATACAGCTTTTCCTAAAGTTTTCCACAATTTTGACCACTAGTGTAATGAGCATCACCTTCATCATATGTCAAATGCAGAAATATATTCATTACAGGTATACAATACGGTTTTAAAGCAGACACACACACACACACACACACACACACACACACACACACTTCCTTACAGAATGTCATCGAAGAGTTCAGGTGTAGGAGGTTCATCGAAGGCTATGCTTGAAGTTATATAGATTTGAGACATAATGCCAGCAATAACAACATCTCCAGACTGGAAATATTTGTGAAGAATAGGAAGAGGGTCACGGATGGAACAGGGAGCAACAGCAGCCTTGCACTCATCTGGAGGAAGCAGCACTGACACCAACATCATGTAAAGTACCATACTGCACAGAGCATGGTAGGAGCAAGAGGAAACTTGCACACAGTCTGAGGCAGCAGCACAAATACCAAGATTGCAAATATTACCATGTTGCAGGGAATTTTTTAGGCGACAATTCATCTCTTTGCACATTGTCATCTGAGTGATTCTGAGCAGCAAAGTCTCAATGGGATGGTTACGAAAGCCAGATTTTTGCAGGAAATAGAATCAGTGACCAGTCTGACAGAGCCCTTGGTGTAAGGCCAAGCTCTGAACATCACAGGAGATATTAATAGTATCTGCAAGTCTTGATTCATAGTTTTCATGCAGCTACTGGAACTCCCCAGAGAGTCAAAGAAATGATCGTGATTACTTTGATAATTACAGCAGACTTAATCAGCCTCTCAGTGATTTGGGGGTGGGAAGCATGTTTATCACATCACAGCCAAAGTCTCAGCAGGTCCTCCTTAGTAGGGAGAGCAATAAGAGTTTATGGAGAGTCAGCAAAAAGAGAGAGAAAGGGTTACCCAGAAAACTACTTAAGATGAAAACATAGAATAAAAAAATAACTGCTTTGCCGTTAATTGTTCAAAGACGTAGAACAAACTTTTGTCATGGTCTGGGTTACGGGTAGTCAGAGTCCCAACTTGCTTCGTCGGGACTGGGGTTGAGGTCGGGAAGCAGGAATCAGCAGTCCAGGGTCAGCAGTCCAGGGGTCAGGAAGCCAAGAGTCCAAGGGTCAGGAAACCAGGAGTCAGGAAGCACAGCTAGGTGGGTAGCGTGTTGCTGTAGCAAAGAGCCAGAGGGAACTGCTGGTCTCCTACCCTTTGCCACCAGGTGCTACGAGTCTTCCCTCAAGCCTCACCTGTGCGGCCGTGCCTTGCCCTTCCAGGCCAAACTCAGGAAGGCCCCAATCCTGCGAGGCCCTACCAGTCACAGGGCCTGGCTCCTGCACGCACTTCTGACAACTTTGCACAACCTTTAAATCAAGTCCATTATCCATTTCATCAACCAAAATTCTTATTACATTAACTGACACCATATGGACAAACCATAATTTTCAGCTGAGAACCAGTGTGATGTACTGGTTAGAGTGTTGGAGATGGGAGACCAGGGTTCAAATCCCCACTCAGGCAAGAAGCTCACTGGGTGATCTTGGGCAGGTCACAGCCTCTTAGCTTAACCTACCTCACAGGGTTGTTGTGAAGATGAAATTGGGAGAAGGAAAACCATAGTATATAAATGCTATATAAATATAATAAATAGATACATATGAAATAATGAAGTTTAGATTTAAAAATCTGTGAATGCAGTGATTTAGAATCTTTTTTTAAAAATAATATTTATTAATAGTTTCAGAATAATAGAAAAAAGAGAAAAAATAAAAAACCAACACTACAATACATAAAGAAAAAGAAAAAAACACAAAACATAAAAACCAATACAGCAATGCAACAAAAAACCCCCCCCACAAATCCCAAATTACCTATCTTTAACTTCCATTTGCTTGTTTCATTGACCTCCTCACACCTCCCCTTTTGTATTCTAGTTTAATTAGTTTTTTCAGCAAATTCTTTCCATCTTTCTCAATTTTTGTTAAATAATTTATCTTAACATTTTAACCTAATAGTTAACTCAACAAATCCTTCCCATCTTTCCCCATATTCTGTTATTTAAATTACCTTGATTTATTTAACCTTATCTTACCCTAAAATACCTTAAAGCTTGAATCTTAATGCTCAAATATACATAGCTCCTGTTATCATTTCTGCTAGAGTCATATAGTTTCATTCCAACATTTTCCCTAATATTCATTTATTTTAGGCTGATTCCCCAAATAAAAATTTTCTTTATAGATTTTCTTCCAATCTTCATCCAACGTCTCTTCTTCCTGGTCTCGGGTCGTGTCAGTCCTTACTGTCCATTCCATCTAGTCCATCAACCTGGAAGTCTTATGTCCGAGGCCCTTAAGTCTCTTCCATGTCCCTTCTGCAGATCTTCTTCTTCTTGTTTATACTTGCCCTTTTCCTTGTCATTTGTTGGTCTCTACCTTAATTTCTTTCCTTTCTCATTGAGGAGTAGGTCTCTGGGGGGTTCCAACCCACAATTGTCTCCATCTCCCTTCATCAAACCCACCCATTCCCCACAGTCCCACTCCCCACAGTCATCAGTGTAATCCAAAAAGTATTTAAAAACATATTTCAAGGTCTCTCCAAAATTAGGAACCTCCTCAGCTCCAGACTCCCCCTGAATCTTTGTCTATGAGCTTTAGAATGCTTGAAACATTACCATAGCAATCAATTTTGAACAAGTTATGTCCAAAGGGGAAATGCTATAGTATCATGACTATTCTTAATTCTACAGTTCTAAAGATTGTAGGCTGTAGTTTTTTAACTAAATCAACCTCCACCAACTTTTGAGGCCTAAAGCCAGGCATAGGCAAACTCAGCCCTCCAGATGTTTTGGGGCTACAACTCCCATCATCCCAGTGGTCAAGGATGATGGGAGTAATAGTCCCAAAACATCTGGAGGGCTGAGTTTGCCTATGCCTGGCTAAAGCTTTATAGTAAACAACATGGTTGATATTGTGATCTTATGGGGCACTTGATCTGAGAGGTGACCTGGATCCTCATCTCACAAATCCCCTGTGGGCCATAGGTGACATGGGGCTGGGACAGCATACCTCTCCATCATCCGAGATCACAGGGACATCAGAGAAACCATTTTCTCCACACGAATGATCAGCTGGTCCTTGGGCCTGAAACTCAGCAAACATGATGCTCTGCAAGCCTCTGCAATCAGATGATCTTTGGGCCTCACAGTGCTGCACATGGAGCTATGCAAGGCCCCCCAAAAGCTGCTTCTTGGGGTTTCCATAGCTTCATGAACACAGTTTTGCAAGCCTGAACTATCAGAACATCATCAGCACTTGTAAAACACTTTGCGTGGGGTTTTGTAGGTTCTCCTGACAGCTGAAATGTTCTTCAGTCCAGCCACTCTGTATCTGTCCCAAATGGAGAAGATAAACTCAGAGAATCTGGGTCTCATTTGTAGGCAGATGAGGACCAGTGGGTAACATATGTCATTCAATTGTTTTGAAACCCCACTTGGAAATGTGGCAACTTCACATTGTGAAGCCAGATGGATGTGTACATACATGTGTATCCACAGGTGGATGATGACGGAAAGGATTAAAAATGCAACCTCTTAATTGTCCATGATGTTCTGCCATGTTATACAGGCTTTTGTAGCTACATTCTGAGATCAGCAGCTTTTCTTGATTACATATAAATAAATACAATATAGCTTTTACCTAAATATATAAAGTATTGCCTTGGCAGAAGTTAGTGTATTGACAGGATAACAAATTGACAGAACAGCTTTATGGTGTTAAAATTGGTCTCAGCTTTATTTGCTACAGATTTAGGTTGGAGGCTAAGAGTTGAGAAAGACAAGGAATTACCGTATTTTTCGCTCTATAACACGCACGTAGTTTTTAGAGGAGGAAAATCCATAGGCATGCCACCCATAGGCATTTCCTCCATAACACGCACAGACATTTCCCCTTACTTTCTAGGAGGAAAAAAGTGAGTGTTATGGTGCAAAAAATACGGTACTTTTTCTGCTTTCCATTCAATTAATGCCAGCAAACAATGCAATAATTAAAAGCATTAATGAAAGTTGATTCCTATTTGCTCCTCAGAATTAAGTGGTCTTTGCTGTTCAAGTCGGGCCTCAGAAGAAGGATGTACAATTTGGGGGAAAAGATACAACCCAGCAAACCTGCGCTGGAGGCCAAGATGCAAAAGACCTCCACAGCCACCATCTGCTTTCCTTTGGTGCTCAGATAAGAGGGAACAAAGGACAGCCAAACGCTGCAGAAAACCAACATGCTGAAGGTGATGAACTTGGCTTCGTTGAAACTGTCCGGCAACCTCTTGGCCAGGAAAGCCATAGTGAAGCTGACCATGGCCAGGAATCCCAGATAACCCAGGACAGAATAAAACATCGCGACAGAACCTTCGTTGCATTCCACAATGATTTCCTCCATCAGAGAGTTCATGTCCACATCTGGGAATGGAGGAGCAATACAGAGCCAAGCAGCACAAATGCTGGTTTGAACTGAGCAGCAAGCAATAAGAACCAAGTTTGTGAGAGATTTCCCCACCCATTTCCTCATCCTGGATCCTGGTTTGGTGGCCATGAAAGCCAGAACCACCGTGATGGTTTTGGCCAAGACACAAGACACAGCAATGGAGAAGATGATGCCAAAAGCAGCTTGTCGTAAAGAGCAGCTCACTGGGTGAGGCTGGCCAATGAACAGCAAGGAGCAGAGGAAGCAGAGCAAGAGGGAAATGAGCAGAGTGTAGGTGAGGTCCCGGTTGTTGGCTTTGACAATGGGAGTGTCCCCATTCCTAGAGAAGACGCCAAGTATCAAAGCTGTGAGCAGAGAAAAGACCAGAGCTAAGGAAGCTAAAACGAACCCTAAAGGTTCTGCGTAGGAAAGAAAATGTTGGCGTTTGGGGATGCACTGATCTCTGTCCTTGTTTGGAAATTGGTCATCTTGGCATTGGAAACAATAATCCACATCTGAAAAAATCAAATGAGTAATATATGAGTTCCAACAAATAATTTGGGGAAAGTATCAGAGATAAGTGGATATTAAAAACTGTTTGTACAATCTCCAGCCGCTATGCATAATCCACAATAGGCTCTACGTTTCAATGGGCCTAAAGTGCATGGATTTTTCACCTACTCTGTCCTTCATCTGGAGTTAGTGATCAGAAACATTGGCTTTGGTTGTGCCCTTAGCTAGAGTTGGTCAGAACACTTAGTGGTACAATGTTCAAAATAATAATAGCAATAGTAATCCTACCCGTTTGATTTGAAATCATCCCATGTGGACATGAAGCACAATCATAGCAACAAAATGGCAATCCCTCCTTCTTTTTTCTGTTGTAGCCTGGCTGGCAGCGATTATTACACAAGGCAAGGGGCAGCACCTAGCCATAAAAAGAGGAGAAAATGTAGCTCTCTCGTGCCTTGTAAACAACACAATTTTAACCAAAAAGAGATCAGCTGGCTGATTAACATTATTCCAGAAAGGTGTGTTGTATAAATAAATAAACTGTAATGTAAATATTGGGAGTGAATGAGAA